TTGATGGATGGATTGATGGATTGATGGATGGATAGATGGATGGATGGATGGATTGATTGGTTGATTGGTTGATGGATTGATGGATTGATGGATTGATGGATTGATGGATTGGTTGATTGATTGATCGATTGGTTGATTGATTGATTGGTTGATTGGTGGATTGGTTGATGGATTGATGGATTGGTTGATTGGTTGATTGATTGATTGGTGGATTGGTTGATGGATTGGTTGATTGGTGGATTGGTTGATTGGTTGATTGGTTGATTGGTTGGTTGGTTGGTTACAACACTGGCCACAATTTTGGTTTAATAAATAAACAAATGTCTCTTTTATCATTTTTTTTCAAAACTTGCACCTAAACATTTTTGTGTGCATTTTTTACATTTAGGTTTGGCTAATTCATTATTTTTTCATTATTGATATATTCATTTATTTATTATTTATTCATATTTTTTTGAAAAAGATTTCTCCATAAACGTGAAATCTTAATCATGTTCAGATTTTTAAAAAGAAAAGAGAAAAAAAAGCCACATCAAATGCAGCAAAAATGTCTCATAAAAAAAAATAAGTAAATAGTATTTTGATAATCACAAAAGCAGAATGTGAAGGCTTGTTTGCTGCTAAATCTACACAAAAACAAATGCCTTCAAAAGAGCTTGGATCCCAGCTAAAGATCTCTCTAAAGATTTTAGCAGCAATTAAAACTGCAAACATCATTATCCTAAAGGTCAAATTAGTATTAATACTTCAATTAAACTGGGTCTGTTCCTTACACAAAACCATTTTACGACTTATTATAGACTTAAAATTGAATGTGCAAGTCACTGTCCTATTTGGAGAGCTTACAGTCACTATGAACTTCTATGTTGTTTCAACCCAATGTTGGGTCAAATATGGACTAACCCAACTGTTGGGTTAAAAAGCTAATTTAAAAATGTAACCCAACAGTTGGGTTTGTCCATATTTGACCCAACATTGGGTTGAAACAACCCAGCATTTTTTTGAGTGTAGTTAAAAATGTAATTCCTAGATGAACGGAGTCTCTCCTAGACGTGCAGACTTATACTGTACTTCAGTGCAAAACCACTGAGGGTTTTTAAAGGTAGTGTGGATAATTAGATGTTCAGGGGCTTTCATAATGCAGATCTCTATAGTAACTACTCCATTTAGCTCATGTAAATATAATTAAAGTGCACTATCAAGTTTCATGTCTTATACTTTCTAGATAATGACGTGGAGTTATTATAAGAGCATAATGTGTCAGGACCATCGCTGAGTAAAGCTCACCTTCCTGAAGACAAACGCTTCTCCGTTGTAGACCAGATTCAGCCCGTTGTTCATCACCGTCCTCGTGCAAAACTCTTTACAGATGGTGTCTGTCGGGAGGCCGTACATGTCCAGCTCCACGTACGTGCCGATCTTCTCATCCGACAGAAACTGGCCTGAAATCACCTGAGAGACCAACACTGGACTCACTTTCAGAGCATTTTCCAAAACAGCAGACATTTAGCAGGCACTTTATGCAAAGTGACCCACAGTACACCAATTACAGTCACATTTTACATAATTATCATGCTTTATTGTCTTACTGTGGCGCTAACAAACCTCACTGCTAAAGAGGTGATATAGATGCATTTAACCAGGTATTAAACCAGAAGAGTTATTATTCAGGGAATATCATAAAAAGTTTGACTAACTAAAAGATAACTTTTTCCACAATCTTTAAAATTGTTTATGAAAAAAATCTATCAATAAACAAAAAAATAATAATTTAAATAAAGAAATTTAGGAAGAATGAAATACTTTTAAATAGATTTTAAAAAGGAAAAAAATATATAGAAATACCTTATATATATATATACAGTGGGTACGGAAAGTATTCAGACCCCCTTACATTTTTCACTCTTTGTTATATTGCAGCCATTTGCTAAAATCATTTAAGTTAATTTTTTTCCTCATTAATGTACACACAGCACCCCATATTGACAGAAAAACACAGAATTGTTGACATTTTTGCAGATTTATTAAAAAAGAAAAACTGAAATATCACATGGTCCTAAGTATTCAGACCCTTTGCTGTGACACTCATATATTTAACTCAGGTGCTGTCCATTTCTTCTGATCATCCTTGAGATGGTTCTACACCTTCATTTGAGTCCAGCTGTGTTTGATTATACTGATTGGACTTGATTAGGAAAGCCACACACCTGTCTATATAAGACCTTACAGCTCACAGTGCATGTCAGAGCAAATGAGAATCATGAGGTCAAAGGAACTGCCTGAAGAGCTCAGAGACAGAATTGTGGCAAGGCACAGATCTGGCCAAGGCTACAAAAAAAATTATGCTGCACTTAATGTTCCTAAGAGCACAGTGGCCTCCATAATCCTTAAATGGAAGACATTTGGGACGACCAGAACCCTTCCTAGAGCTGACCGTCCGGCCAAACTGAGCTATCGGGGGAGAAGAGCCTTGGTGAGAGAGGTAAAGAAGAACCCAAAGATCACTGTGGCTGAGCTCCAGAGATGCAGTCGGGAGATGGGAGAAAGTTGTAGAAAGTCAACCATCACGGCAGCCCCCC